AGAAGGGGGGACTTAGGGCAGGCCCCCAGGACTGCAGCAGGGTTTATGCCCATCCAGGAGCAATATTTGGGGAAGAGCCACAGCAAGGGTGGGAGGAGGCTGGGTGCCGGCCCTCTGGCTTGGGCCTGCGAAAGAGGGTGGTGCAGCTATCCCTCACTCCCTCCCCGGGTGAGCTGAATAAAAGCTCCAATGGGAAGCTCTTTGCATTGCCTCCCTTAATGGGCTTAATGTCTTGACTGAACTCTAATGTGAGTAATTTTGCCTCCCACGCACAGATTTCAGAGAAAAAAAGAGTATACAATGGCCCTAGCCCGCTTTAGCAGAGAAAATAAAATAGAAAAATAATAGTAAAAATTACTGTTACTTCCATCACCTTTATTTTTTTTTTATCTGCTAGCTTACGGTTTTCTCTCCCGTTTTCCTGAATTTCTAACAATGGAGGAGGTTATGATTAATTTCTGGATAGCGGAACCTTTTTGGAAAGGCACCCTCTCCCCAAATGAACAAGCTGCTTGTGGTAATTAGAGTCATGTCATCCAGCACGCAGACTGCTTGTGCTAATAAGGCTAATTGACAACAGCAGGCATTCGTGATTAGTCATGCGCATCTAATAGCATGCTGTTGCCTGTGCTTTTCTAGGGGAGCGCTTTCACAGCTGTTCCCTGTCTGCACTCAGGATCGGGACCCTTGGCTGTGTATTTCGCTCAGAAAGGTCCACCACTTTTCCCTGGCATTCGGCAGTCTCTCTCTCCCCCTAAATTTCGTCGTAGGGCATGCACCCTGGCCAGAGAGACAGAGAGAGGGAAAGTGAGAAAGCACCCTCAGGGGGAGATGTTCACACCGGAATCCCTTCTCTGTTCTCTCGGGATTTGGGGCATTCATGCACATGTGCCCAGTGTGATCGTCAAGCCTTCAATTCCAGGACTCAAACCACGGTTGGCCATGTGAGAGTCCAGTGCCTTAACCACTATACCACCTGCTGGCCCCTCAGCTTCTCCTTTCAAAGCTGGACAGGGCAAGTGTAGAGCACGGGCTCTGAGCCCCACAGCATATTTCAGAATTTGGCGTTGATTTGCACGGACAAGCCCCAGTGTCACAGATGAACCAGGGCTCAGTATTCAGAATTTACCCAACAAATATCACAAAGGCTCTGGGGCCAATAGGTGGTATAGTGGTTAAGGTGTTGGACTCCCACATGGCTGACTGTGGTTCGAGTCCCAGATCCAGCGGCTTGAAACTGGCATTGAGTGTGTGTGTGTGTTCCCAAAACCCAGAGAGGACAGTGGGGAAGAAGGGATTGTGGTGTGTCCATCCTCCCTGGAGGGTGATTTCTCACTTTACCTCTCACTGTCTCTCTGGAGAGCACTTGTACCCTATAGCAAAAATCTCTCCAAGAAGAAAAAAAAGGTCCTAAAACCCAGTATGCTTTTTAAAAGAAAGTAAAACAATCAAATAGGTATTTTTTACCACTGTAAATTCTAAAAAAAAAAAAAAAAATACTTGAATTCCTCCATTAAGGATCCTCTCATTTGGGTGTTTTCTCTGTGTGCATCTTCTCACCTGAAATTGAAGGAAGCTCTTGGGGACAGGGCCAGAGTCTGCCTGGATCTGTTAAATAAAAGCTCAGTTTTGGGACCAGCAGATTGTGTAATGGTTACATTGCTGGACTCCCATGTAGTCTACCACGGCAGCTGGACGCGGAAGCTTCGAACTCATGCTGGGCATGTGTGCATGTGTGCCCAAGATCCCAAGAGAATGGAGGAGAAGGGATTGCGGTGTGGCAATCCCCGCTGGGGGGGGGGGGGAATGTGTTCCTTCCCGATCTGTGTCTAC